CGGCTGCCTCTGCCGAAAGGCGCGGGCTCCCTCGGCGGGACGGCGGCTGCCGACGCAGCGGGCCGCAAAAGGCCAGCGGCCCTTGCCGGGCTGTTTGTTAAGACGCAGCTGCCCGCACTCCTTGGGAAGAGCCTCCACGACTGGGGCTCTCGTTTCCCAAGCTGTCACAGAGGCCTGGGTTCGAAATGGGGCCGCTAGAAGGGACGCCCCTACCCCGGCCCTGCGCGCAGGCAGCCTGCCCTGAGGAGCTTTGGGGGAGCCCCGAGAGGGCTTTGGAGAGGCGCGGGGTGCGAGGGGCTGCGCGCCATCGCGGCTCGCAGCAGTTGCCTCCCTGCTCTCCCGCTGCCGCTCTGCCCAGGGCCAGGCCCTGCCGCCACCCCTCCTCTGCCTCGGGCCAGCCTGCGTTGCGTCTCCAGGCAGAGGGGGCCCTGGCTGAGGTGTGCACGGACTGGACTGACGCATCCTAACAGTCCCGCCGTCGTTAATGGAGCTCATGACGATGAGTTTCGTAACTTCTACTGAAGGTTTGTTGAAATCGCTCGTGTGCTTAATTCCCGGGCAAGCGCAGGAAAGCAAGCGGTGAACAGCGCACCCAGCTCAGCCTCCCACGGGAGATGGCACAGCCTGCTCCGCTGCCGTGCCTCCCCTTCACAGACAGCAATGGCAGAAGCCTCTACAAGAGATGGGCCACGAGAATCCCCCAGGGGCTATTCTATCCTGGTCTTACTGAAGGCACATGTGAGAAAAGATGGGAGAAAAAGCTCCCTCCGCTGTAACACATGGGACCACAAGAAGCACGCAGCAAAGATCACGTTCAAGCCCTAAATGAATGCAATGGGCAAAGCTGCAAGCTGGAAAACAAAACCCAATGTTACAAGTCAAGGATCATAAATGATTAGAATTTCCAAGCCATTTTGAAGTGTTTCATATTCACCCTAAATTGCATATACAGTATGTCACATTATCTAATAACATAACTACGTTTCAAAATATTCCGTATGTCTCTTGGAATCATGCTTGCATTGCTCTGAAAACCACAGCTGCAGAGTGTCACAGCATTTTTGAATTTAAAATTTGCAACCTTAAGTAATGAACACTGTTTGCATTTAATTTCCTTATTTCTTAAAAATAATAAAAACAAATGATTGTGGGTTTGTGGATTTGTACATTTCTACTTGATTAACCTGCCTGATTAGATCACTCTTCTAGGCAACAATATTAATTTGGCACAACTTCATAAACTGAGAGGCCAGATCAGAAACCCTCAGTATCATATGCAAAACCTCAACAGTCAAAGCCCTGTATTTTTCCACAGCTGCTACTTGTTTGAATTACCACCTATCACTCAAGGAAAGAGCTAGCTATGGCACAATGGAGTTCTGCAAAATGCTGTCCTGGCGTTTACAGACCATGGCATAAATAAACCATAAAAGATATGTACTATGCATGCACCAGGCCATTTCTGTCATTTAAATAGCTTTTAAAAGTACTTTAGTCAAACTTAACAAGAATCAAGCAATGCACAAAGGTTTAAGGAGCAGCAATTTCTGAACTGTGTTAAGAAATGTTGTTACTCTTAGTCATAAGACAGACTAAAGTCTCCGTGAATTAAAAAAAAACAACCTAAAAATCCCCTAACAGACCACTCTAAATCACCTTTGGGCTGAGACCAAGTAATTACAGCTTTAAAACAAAAGACCAATTTCTGAGAAAGTTGCAAAAGTAAGTAAGAGTAGGGAGGTCGGCAGGAAAGCTGGAAAACAGGCAAGTTACCTCCTGTGTCTCAAGTAACTTTCTGCATCTCCTATGAAAATCTGCTGCAGCCTGGGAATGTACACAGTAAAAAATGGATGTTTGGGATGCAGCACAGAGAGCAAAGGACCCCCCCCAAAACCCTATGATTGTTCAGTAGCAGATAATCATACATATGAACCCAACTTTCTTCAGCTCAGAAACACCATCTCTCCTCAGGAATGGTTATTTCGCTATTAATTTTCAACTTCTCACCTCAAAATTGTCTCAGTCACAGAACTGCTTCAACTCAGACTCCAAAAATGTGCACTTTGGAAAAACGTTTTCTTCTATATTCACAATTTGAACAAGTCATCTTCCTTTTCGTATTTTTGGAATCAAGCAGAACCCATTCTTGGAAAATATTAATCTGAAACTTTAAAAGCTTTGAGAAGTTTTTTAACAATTGGTTAAACTAGAAACTTCACCTGGAGAAAACAATCCTACTCTAATGCATTCAGCATCTATTTGATGATGGTAGATCAGCCCCTTGGCTGGCACACCCATGCAGGAGGGTAATGGAGGGCTGATCAGTTCACAGGGAGGCAATGCAGCAACTAAATAATGTAAATAAATAATAAAGAAAAACAACTTGAGCAAAATGATCATTCAGCCCAGAAAAGCTTATCTGGAAACAGAGAACTTCCACCAATTATTAGAACACAGGCGATATATCCTGCGAGGGTTAAACGTGAGCCTTGCTATTTTCTTTCGTTTGCTTTTTGAAGAATTCTCCTTTGGGTAAAAATCTCCCTTGCTTGGCCTCAGCCCAGAGGTTTTTAAATTTACTATTTGAAAGTCTAATAAAGTAATTGCAGCCATTTTTTTTGAGTTATCTAAAAGTGAAATAATTTTCCTGACTCAAAACATGCAGATGTTTTGCTGCTCATGTTGCTTAAATATGACCCAACCGTACAAAACAAAACTTTCTAGCTGACTAACTCCTGAAGGCAATCCAAACCTTTTAATGACTTGAAAAACCCCACACAGCTAAACAAAAAGCACTGTAAGCAAAACATTTTTAAGGCCTGGGTTGTATGTAGGCGAAGCGGTAACGTTTGTCAGTGCCGATCACTGGGACAGAGCCTTCCATTGCCACCAGGAATGTACAGCCTTTCTGCTCCAGCTGAACTCCAGCAGCTCTGCAGGAGGAAGGAGCCACAATCCTGCAGGGCTGTACAACAGCTCACAAAGGAGCCTTTCAGCTCGACAACATAACTTTTTTTGTTGGGTTTCTTTTTTATTTTATTTGTGCATTTTGGGGAGGCAAAGGGGAAGGAACGCAACCTTTTCGTTTCTTCCTTGATAAAATGTAGTGAGTAAATTTCTTACCTACGTTTCTGATTCTCTGCAGAACCCTTTACGTGGGGTTTTCCGTGCCTGCATCTTGGCTTTCAGAGCAAAGCAGAAAGGGAGCTTGCCCCTGCGAGGCAGCATGTCTTGAATAAGAGCTGCCTCAACCCTTTGCATTTGCAAACTGCCAGGGGATCAATTGCTCCCTGAAATTCTCCAGCCAATACCGAGCACCACAGGGAAGGCTCAAGAAACTAAGAAACTGCCCCATTTCCAATAAGAAACCACCCGTTCCTGAAGGCAGACAAGAAGAAAAATCAGCCTAAAGAACACAGGTCACCTCCAAAACAGCTTCTCTACCATGAAGATCTAGAGAGGGGGCAGGTGCAGTTATAAAAAAAAAAAAAAAATCTAGTCAGCTTCTCCCAAAAATGATCATTACAAAGAAAAATATGATGTCACCAGTGCAAGAATATTAATGTGGAACTGAATAGCTCAAAGGATGAGAAGAAATTTAAGTTTTGCACAGGGCAAAACAAGCAGCTGACGACTAAGGACCAACTGCAAGAGCAGAGAGGGCAACAGACCTCCCACCCATGCTGGCCACGAGCCGTAAGCCCCAGGCTCCCCCGCTACAGCTCCAAACTGGACACTGAGATGTACAAAAAACAGCTTAGAAATAACCCAGTTCAAAGCAAGGACAACTGGAGACCTCCAAACCTCCCATCCCAGGGACAGAAGTTGTGCCACTGAACAGTGACAATGGGGCTGGGTAGACATGTTTTTTTCAGTTGTTCTGCCCCAAAGGTCCAAACCAGATCCAACACAGTTACTATCTGCTCTCCCATGGGCTGAACCTTTTGCATCACCAGATCTGTCCATCTGCAGGACCAACCCACAGCTTGGCCAATGACCATTAGTGACACAGGAACCACACCAGAAAGCAAAAAGCAGAGAGCTATTCAAGGGGAAGGGGTGTATCCTTCAGCAAATCATAAAAAGCAGGTATTTCTGCTTGAATGCCCAAAAAGCCCTGGAACAAAGCACCTCGAGAGAAGAAAGAGGGGCCTGAGTTTGCTCTTGCTACTGTGATGCTGAGCTGGTGAGTTTGCCTAGGATCAGTCAAACGTTCAGGGAAAGGCAGATGTTACGTGACTGATCGGTGGCTCAGACCTCGGGGAAACCACAGCTGATGCTCAGAAAATGCATCTGGCAAAGAGGGAATGCCAGGTCCTGCCACTGCAATACAGCTCCTTCCTTGCCCAGCCAAAAAGAAATGACTGAAAGATTCAGGATCTGAGTTTCTGGCAGCTGGCAATTGCACGTAATTGGCCAAGGGAGCTCAATTTTCAGTGCTTTGAGGACAAGCAGACCTAGGAGAGCTGGCTTGCCAGTGCCTTGGGTTTTTGAGACACAGACTGAAGATACGCAGGGAGAACATGCCAAGTGCAGAATCACATCCTCAGTGTACATGTAACCACCAAGTTATCTCATGTTTGTTATGATGGTGCAGTACCAGCCACTTCTTCTACATGAAACCTTAGATATGCGTGGCAATAAAAGGATCTTTCACAAAAATGTCTTTCAGTCCTGCAGTCTTATGCTATTTCCAGCACTGTTACTGGTACAGTTCTGTGTACAGTTCTCACTGGATAATATCACACAGGGCTTTCCCCCATATAATCCTTTTGTTTCCTAACCATACATTACATGCATATTCAATGGCATGTTATTTCTCTGCAGACAGGTACACTTCCCAACTGCTTTAACTGCTAGCTCGGGTTCTGTTTCTGGGAGAATCACATTTACAGAGTTGCATAGAGTTTTCAGTTTGATTTCTTGCTGAACAGTGTATATGAATAAATATCTCATTTTGGTTTTTATTGTCTTAAGGCAATTCAAATGCACTTTAAATGTTACTACTATATGCATCAATTTACAGCAACATGAAACAACATTTTCTAAGTTTCACACATATAAATTGTGCTTCTCCACCACTGATGTGAAAATTACTAAGAAATTTCCACATTCAAATTTTTGAAAATTTCCATCTTCTATAGCTATACATTAAAAAGGCTTTGGAAGCAAAAGGTAAAGTCATGTTTCCACTGAGTTCATGACAAAACTATGGATATAAATTGTACGTGTGTATGTTGATGCATCCAGAACATTTAATATATAGCTTGATTTCATCATCAAAATATAAATAAATGTATAAATACAGATCAATTGGATCATACACTAGGAGGTAACCCGATACTAATATAGCTTCTAAAATTCCAGCTGAATTAAGGATCCCATAGTGCTTGGGGAAGAGGAGTAGAATAAAAGCAATCCTTGTCCCAAATCTAAACACTGCAATTATTATTGCAAAAGTATTGCAATGCTGTGATGCAATGGTAAAGCATTCTGCATGTCAGCAAATAACTGCTGCTCACTATTTTAGGGATTTTTTTTCTTAAACTGCAGAGTGAAGCTACTTTGTAGTTACATTTAAAGGACTTTTAGGAATTTTGTTAGTATTTAGAAAGGAACAGCAGCATCTAAAAACAATTCTGCATGTATCTAAGGATACAGAAGAAGCTCTGTGGTGTTAAACAGCACACAAGAAATATGCAAGCATGCAATTAAAGGATGTATTATGAGACTGTGAAAAGCTCTGAGAAGTTAAGGATGCATATTCACTTTTCAGCTGTGCATTTGCTGACTTCTGAGAGTTTACACGTGTAAAATTTAATATTGCATTAGCCTTCATTATTCCTGGATTTTCAAACTTTTCACTGGGAGTTTCCTTTATGCTCCTTTAGACATTCCAGTCAATTGTTCTATTGAAGATCATGTGCGCTGATACTGCCAGTTACAACTGAGGAGCTAAAGCAGATGGTCCTCCAAGTCTGACACAAAGACTTCAGTGCTCAACTCAGGTGAAGAAAATAAAACCACTGAAAGGCTCATGAGCTAATTTCAAGTCCCTGTTGTTCTATTATTTCAGGTATGTATTTCTCCAAATTATATGAACTATGCTAATTGTATAAAACACCAAGCAAAACTTTCACATTTCTGCAATTAAGCAACATTGAATTGGCCAGTCTTACAGAAAATTCAAATAAAGTCACTCTTGACTAAGCATGAGATACTTCATGCAAACAATACATTTGGAAAGTGACCTCCGCTGACAGCAGGGGTACGGGGGTGAGTTCAAGTATCGTTTTGATTTTAACATAAAAATACAGCAGTCTAGCAATGCCAATATCTGACTTTATATCCTCCCATCCTGACTTAACAGGGATGGACTAAAATACCCAGCCGGGCAGGAGTGCAGAGCACCTTGGGGAGATGCCTACCCCTGAGGTGGTAACTACTCTGCTGGCATGTGGTATTTGCCAGGAGAAACTTTTTGATTTGCAGCTCTTCCGACACACAGCAATGCCCCAAGAGCACCATGCAGTAAAGACTGCACCGAACGCAAGGGCTGCCCCTGACCTCTGAAGAAATATTACTGAAGTAGAGAGCCACAAAGCTTAGACAGCCCCAAAGTTTATCCTATGAATGGGCCACCCAGAAGAAACATTACTGATGAACAGAGAAGCAGCAGAGCAATCTTCAAGACCTTCCTGAAAATAGTCCCTGAAGCTGAATGTTACCCCAGGATTCCCAAAGATTTGAGCAGGAGTGAGATACCTCTGTGTGCTCGCACATGGGTCTGGAAACAGTTGTAATACTTGTATTTCTTCCCACATATTCCACACTCGTAAGACCCTGAAAAACAAGACAGAGAAGTATACATCACCATATTAGATCAGGAAAAACAGCCTCCCCACATACTTATCCATAAACTGGGGACAAAAGAATGCAGTTTGCAGCAAAGTAATTTTTGGAAGGTTCATGGAGATAAATGCAGGAAATCACTATCCCAGACTCAATTCTTTTTTCAGCCTTATTTAAGATTCCTTGGCATATTACCCTGAACTTACATTTTCAGTATATCTTTTTAACTTTGCTAACATGAAAGGGGCACTCTCAAAATAGCCTGACTTATAACTTTATAATAATGACTAATATTTCCTATGGACAGAAATAACCTTGAATTACTTTTCAGTAAGTTCCTCGTATATGGGAAAAAAAGCTTTTCCACTGAAAAAAGAAGGCAATAAGTTATCTTGAGGCAAGGAGTTTTCAAAATTTCTCAAGAAATGCACAATGTACAAATTTCTCAAGAAATCCACAGAGATTTGGTAAATATCCACCCAGAGGAAACCAAATAGATACAAATAGAACTTTTGACCTTTTTAAGGAAAAGCACATGACCACAGTAGTCTCTCTTCTCAATTTGTGTCTCTAATTCCAGAAAACACACATCTGCAAACAGTCATTTGAAATGAAACCAGAGAAACAGAGCTGGGAGAATCATTTGTAATGATGAAATTATGCAATGAATTTAGCCTCTTCTGTTTATTGGACAGGCAGACAGAAATTTCCTTAGATTTGTTATTTAAGTTGATTCAACCTTTTTTTCCCCCACTCCAACTTGGTGAACAGGCTATAAATTCACCTTTCATGCTTTCACTTGCAAAATGTATTGCATTTCTTAGCTGTCCATCAGCAGCCAAGTTAACTGTGATCCTACCTGCACTCTTCAGTAGGGCGAGAACAGCACTTATTGGAAGAGAAAGTGGGAGAAAGAAGGGCTGAACATTATTTTGTGTGAATGTAGCATTTCATTTCTATGGATGCTTCCTCACGCAAGCTTGAAACAATCTTTTTCTGACCATGCAAAACAGTAAAACTCAGAGACGAGCCACAAACAAGAACAAATATTCACACACACATCCAAATAAATATTCCCCAACATCATTTTACAATACTTACCCAGCACTACTCAAAGCGAGCTCTTTCCAGGAACAAAACCAACCGCGTTTTTTGAACATGCTATACCCATGATCTTTTTTTCCCCTTCCCATGCCCTATTGATTACAGCTTGGGAAGAAAACAACCCTCCTTCCAGTTCGTAACAGCACTGAATTCCCTGTCTGTCATTGTTAGCATCACTTGGGACTGCCTTTTGAGCTCAGGAGGCTACTTTGTCATTGATGCTGAAAGAGGTAATTCGCTACAGTCCAATACACAAGACTACACATCTGAAAAAATACTCTAAAATACTGATATTATAGTCAGTTGACTATGTCTGATCTGCTCCATAGCCTTTTAATTATCGTAGCTAGTTGTATTTTATATATAGATATACATATATGGGACAGCATATAACATCCATGGTCACTCCACACAGGCTTTTCTAAGTGAAATCCTGGGTATCACCAAGTCAGCAGCATCTGCCAGCCCTTGTTTTCCATGCTCAGGGACGACTTATATTCACCATCAACCTCCAAAATTCTTTCTTGAAAGCCATTCCGTCTGGAGCCCCAAAGCAGCACTGCCAGAAAACAAGTGAACTCACCATCACTTGTGCCCTACCAACCAGTAACCCTGTGCAACAGTTAAGGCTCAGCTGTACCAACAGGAAAATGCGACTGACACCCACCCATACCCCAAAACAGTGCCACGTACACACAGAGCACTGGGAAAACAGATAAAAAACAGTGAAGGACTGCAGGTTGAATTTTTTTCCCCATTTTTCTTAGATTTCCCCCTTCCTCTGGAGATGGTCTATGGCACAAGTGCATTTAGTTGTGCAGAAGTTCTTCAAGAAGAGTATAACCTGTACAAGTAACTGTGTAGTGCCTTCCCTCTCCCAGCACGAAACCAAACCAGTGCTGCAGCCCTCATGCCAGGGGCTGTGCCTGGAAAGCACAAGCAGGAGCCGAAGGCAGGAGAGAGACCAGTGCCTCCCACGGCCAGTGATTTTGTGTGGATGTCCTGAAGCATCCAGGTCTCAAGTGCAGTCTGGGAAGGCTGGAGTCATCTTCTTCGAGGGGGTTACCTCTACCCACTTCCTACGCGTGGACAGTAGAGCACTGCCCCAGGAGGACAGTGAGTTTGTGGAGGGTGTAAGGGAGGTGTGTTACAGATCTTAAGTCCTGCAGGCACTGAGAGACAACTCAACAGCCACAACTGTGTACTGAGAACACCACGATTTGAGTGGCAAAGGCACAGATCCTCATATTAGAAAAAGGAGGGATGACTTACCAAAATAAATATATTATTAGAGTGGAGAAAAGGTGAAGTGGAAAAAGAAAAGACATCGCTATGTGTTAAGGCCTTACAAAGAACATGCCCGTGTTGCCTTGGACACTACCACCATGCTCATGGTTTATCTCAGACTTTGTCCACATCAGGATGTGTCATGCAGGCTAAAGCTGTTTGTAGTAGGAGGGGAGATGGGGAAGGTTATTGGTTAGTTGGTGCATTCAGTTTTGCCAGGCTTTTACTGAGCCTTGCAGCTGGAATTTGGGCAACACACCCGTTGCATCCAGAGCTTTCCCTTGCTCCCTGATCCCTGGTTAGACTTTCACACCCTTCCATCTCACATACCGGATGTGTATCTCAATGCATGGTCAAAAATCCAGGTCCCTGAATATCGATTTCGTGTATATCCAACAGGAGAGCCACGTTCCACTGCTTTTCCATCTAAATTGTGCAAAAAGAAATCAGAAAAAAGCCCTTAAAGTGGATGCATTTCCAAAGAATAATGATGGCTGAAGCCTATTAAAAATTTCCAAGACTCGTGTGTCCCTGTGGCTTGTTAACACGATGTCAGGGGTCACACAGAGTTTCTTAAGGCTTCTGCAGCACTATTTTATTTGGTCTAACTCGAAAGAATCCAAAGTGCTCTTGAATTGCATATGCTGAACAGCTGAGCAACTGAGACATCAGCATCACGGCATGAATCAAGCATGTGCATGTAAGATTGATAGCCTCAAAGCAGAAGGATTCACTCTTCACTTTGTCTCGGAAACATTTCTGATTTAATACACTACTTGAAAAATCTTCTCCAAAACGTTTCTCGTAAAGCACGGACCAGATTGAGAGCTTACATAGTCTTGTGTAAAACTTCTCCTGATCAACCTGCATATAAACTCAGTCCTCCAAAACACAAATACTGACCTGATGGTATTCCCAACATTAAAAAATGATCCACATCAGCTGAACAGTCTCTCCCCTTTTCTCCTGATTTACAATCCAAGTGCCATTTTCTTTTCCCCTCCTTTCTAGATAGCTTCATGGTGGGCTTCTCTGCCTTTCCACCCTGACACCCCTGCCCTGAGAAATGTTCATGTGTTGGAGCTCTTCACATGACCCTGGCCCAAGGCCAGCACATGAAGCTAGCAAGAAAAAAGAAGAAAAGAACAGGAAATACCACATCTCTGAGCTGTGCAGGGCAAGAAACACACCACCTACGAGGCAGGGAGACCTGACGGTACCATGGTAGGGTACAGGTTGGTGGATGGGGAGGAGTGCAGGATCCACAGCAGCAGGATCAGTCTGCTGCTGAGCGGACAGAGGGATACAGCCAACCTCTCTGTTGGCTTTCTTTGCTTGGGATGCCTGAAGAGGGACCCCACCGGGCTTACAAGACTTCTGTGGAAAAGCAGATGAAAGGGAAATGGTCCAAACCCGCAAATATCAGCACCGTCTCTTCAGCTGGGGGACTGCAGCCACTGCCACCATTCATCCCGCTTCGCTGCATCCACTTTCATCCATTGCGGGATTTGGGCTGCTCCAAAGGGATGGCAACAGAGTCTGGAGTAGTGCAAAGTGCAGGAAGAGACATGTGAACGTGTAACCAAACAGGAGGAAGCATACACAAGGCCTAATTTGATGAAAACACTACAAGCGAATAGCAGCAACTGAGCTGGGAATCCCTGTTACAAATCGTTCCAAATAACAACAATATAAATATAGCATGCTGCTGCAGGAGATGTGTGACTCAGAAAAGAGACATAAATCTTCTAATGCAGACTTCAGCCAACTCCCGAAGCTGAGCCCCGCAGGAAGGCTGTCTGTCACCTGAAGCCACGTGTGTCCTGAAGCCTTAAGCACTGTGGCCCTGACTCAGACAACACATCCCCCATTTAACTGACCGTCCCCAGCACACCACGAAAGGAGACAGTCTGGGGGTCGGCATTTCCATGCGAAGAAGCGGGATTTGTCTACTTCTGATCCACCACTTCATCTGGCATCATTAATTACTTTAAAAAAATAACCATTTTTGACACCTCCAACCTCAGCTTCCCTGAGGAAGGTGAGTAACATCCTACCAAAGCCTTGCCTTTCCGCACAGCTGAAGTGATTTAGATACAGGGCTACAAGCTCACATCATGAGAAAGGCTTCAGGGAGAAAAAATCCTGGAAGTGCTGGTGAGCAGCAGCAGAGAGCACGAAGCCTTTGCTCCAGAGGTAGGAGGCACCGGCGTCTTCAGCTGTTCGCAGTCTTGGGCTGTTCCAGAGCCCCAGCCAAAATTGCCAGCGAAGCAGCAGGCACGGGACGTTTCTTGTGCAAGTTACAGAGATGTCTGCAGCAATAGAAATAGTACCTGTCTGTGGTTTCTGGGGGGGGACAGAGGGGACCAGAAGAATTGACTGGGAGCCAGTTCAAGAAACCACAAGGAACTGATATCTGGGCACCACGGTTGGTCCACACAGAGCACAGTATTTGGTGCCCAAACAGAAAAGTTATTCAGAGCCACCTCCCCAACAAACAAGAGTTATGTGAATGGCGGATGAATAGGGGCACTTACAGGGCTCTTTTCACAAAGGAATCAGCCGCAAACTGCCAATCGCCTGCGGACCAAGCTGCCTTTAAAGAAACCCAGCACAAAGCTATAAAATAACAAATATGATGCACATTTCATTTGAAAAGGCCCTTCCAGATAGAAGTTCTCCAGTTTACTTTCTACGGCTTTCAACCATAACTTGTTAACTAGTAAATAACTCTCTGTCCCTCTCCCCATGATGCCTACATGTTGAATAGTGTCCCCCCTCACCTCAGCCTGTCCCCAGCGCTCTCTGTAGGTACGACATGATGGTGTACATCCAAGTTAGCCAACAGCAAAAGCCCGTTCCCCAATTTGCACAATATAGTCAACTCAGGGGACATCATCTGCAGAACAGCTGCTGCTGCCCAGACAGAAGCCATGGGGAGAGGAGGGTCCTACATGGCAGACACCCAATCTGCAGATGCTTTCATCTAGGGCTGGTGACTACGGCTGAAGGAGACGCTCCTATTGCCTCCAATCAGCAGCAGTCTCTCCACCCATCCCTCCTGGGGTGCCAGGGTCACCTCCGCATTTCAGGGTGGCCCACGCAGTGATCAAACTCTCTAGAGCTGTGGGGACACAAAAGCTCTGAATATTCACAGGGTATGTCCTCCAAATTGTAAAATCTTTAAGTTGGAACCAGTTATGGACTTCTTAGGCTTTCCCTAGATGTTCTGACCCTGCCTAAACAGCAGTGACCTCCCACCCTGCCATTCTTGGTGGCTGTCCTACTGGGGAAGGGAGGACAGGCAGGACAACGATGCTCCCAATACAGTCACCAGCTGATGACACCCTCCAGGGTTTCTTCCCAGCAGTGTAGACAATGATCAAGCAAAACCCAGGAGAAAATCTAACATCAATACCTCTTTTCTCTCCCCCTGCAAGACAAACCAACCCTGACAGCAACACTGGGCAGCTCAAATTAGCTTTCTCCTGAGTCCCTCAAAGGAAACATGATCCAACTGGTCTTTCTTCTTTTTATCAGCAACTTCCTTTGGCTCTCAGAATCACTGGTGGGACCAGCTCCATGTCAGAGCCAACAGAGGAGTCCCTTTAGCAAGAGTGGTGCCTCTCCAGGATCCCACAGAAAGCCCTTTCCCTGGAGCAGAAGGAGAGGACAGTCTGAAGTTCACAGAAAAAAAGAAAAAGCTGCTTCGCATCACAGCTTGAGATGGGGTAGGGATAGGAAGTACTGTTTTGGAAATGGCACACCACAGCCAGCCAAAAGTCAAAATTATTCCCACAACGTTACTAGCAATCAGAAAAACAAACAGCAACCTGTAAAACCTGTTTTTGAGCTAAATCTATTTACAGAAAGCAGCAACTTTCCTCAAAACATTTCAACGGTTTCTCAGGCTTTCCTCCTGAATGCCTCCTCATCTATGCCCAGTATACCAACCACCAGCCCTGGGTTCACCACAAATTTTGCATTTGACTGATGGGCAAGTCATTTAACACGTCAAAAGAAGATAATAAGCTTTTTCTTACAGTTACCCTGATCTTGGTTGAGTCTTCAGGGGTGACCAGATGCAAACAGATAGCAAAAGTTAAAGAAGGTAAATAAGCCTGAGACTGATGTGCACCTTCGCTCTGGTCCCTCCAGCAGAGCCATGCTTCCAGGAACAGCCCTCCAGAGCTTTGTTCCTCTCCGCACACCAGGGACTCAGGGAACTGACTGATGGGGTGCGTTATCCCATAGCTTACCGAGTGTCTGCTGGTTGCGGACCCCACCTATGACCACGCAGATCTCTGCAGGCACATCTCCTGGCCCGTCTTTTATGTTCTTCTTGGAATCTTTGGTGTCATCCTGCCAGATCACCTCTTCGATATAGTCATCTGGTACCTCTGTTTTCACTTTCACCTCAGTCATCATTCCAGCCTCTTCACTGGGTGAGGACTGAGATGTCACCGAATCGGAGCCCTCCGCTTTCGGGCTGTGCGGGCTCCTCTTCAAACACTCCCTGAATGGGCAGAAAAGAGGAGAAAACATGAATCCTCATTGTCAAGCACTCACTTTCTCATCACTAGGACCTAATTAAAGGTACTTTAATTTAATGCAGTTTATTTAAAATAAGTATGGCTAGGTATGTGTATCTGTCATATATGGTAAATAATTAAAATTTAACCAGACAAAAGTAATAAATCCATTTGCTAGTAATGAAAATAACCTTAATCATCCCAAACAATAGTAGCAGTCGTAAACAGACTGTACCACTAAACAAGCGCATAGAATTTCACCTTGTTCCTAGCAGGCCAAGAGCACAACTCGAGCAGTCCTGACATCAAGTATTATGACAAAACTAGCCCATACATGCAGAGGAAACACCACATCCTCCTGACATTTTTAATTTGGAGCCATTTCTGCCCCTGTGTACTTCTCCATGGGTTCATCTACTGTCACATCTTCTCTTTTAACCCTGCAAAGCAACCTACCTCTCATCCTATGGTATTTGTATGGTCTTATTTAACATATATGGTGATGATCAAAGGGAGCATATGTAGTATAATGATATTTTAGGGAGACTTACGTTATGGACAGATGCAAGTATCAAAGATGACAGAGAAAGCATGATGGATGGGGAAAGGCAGAGGGAAGAAATGAGGGGTCCAGTGTATTTAGAAACAGGTGAAGGAAAGAGTATGTGTTTTCATCTTGGAAAGAGAAAGATGGAAATTCATGGGAGAAAACAATCTAAATAAATAAATAAATATTCAAAACCCCTTAAGAAAAGGAAGGAAACTGGACCCCCCCAAAGCTGTAAAACAATGTCAACAAGTGATATGGTGGCAAAAGGCAGAGGGATTTTGAGCATGACAGATGAGGACCAGGTAATTATCCAGAGTGTAGAGCTTTTCCAAATGTACCATCCACCACTCATTATGGGCTCCCTGCTTTTAAGACCAGTTATTAATAAATTCCAACACACAATGCAAAGATAAAATAATTGCTGGTTCAGTCTGTGCACAAATCAGAAGAACTAAATATATAACAATAGCTTAGACTACCCAGAAACAGAGATTTTTTTAAAGACTGTGACATATTTAGAATCATGTAAACACTGGGAACAGACGAAGGTGTTTGAAAACGTTTTAAGCAGAAGTAATAGACATAATTAAGTGAAAAATAGGCTGAACTTACGGATGAGAGTTATTAGACCATGCAATAACGAAACAGAAGGAAATCCCATTGCTTGGAACATCACAGAAAGTCAGAACAAAGTATGAATTAAAATGTTAGAAAACTAACACCTGCAATAGTTTCTGATACTGGTTATGGAGCTGGTAGAGAAATCAAAATGCTGCAACTGAAGGCAAAAGAGCCCAGCGGGTAATCCTGGGAGGACGGAGATGAGAGGAACAGATGAACGAAGAGAACAATCTGCAATAATTACTGCACAACCTCCTACATGGACATGTAGTTGCTATTTCAAAATGGGTCGGTCACATCATATCACCAGATATTTTATTATTCATCCCTTCATTCTCATTGTGGAATGAAATGTACAATTAATAGCCCCTAAACAGCAAGAATTAGCCTTGACCTGCCTCCCCACTCATTCCCATCCACCTCACACATCCTCCCCTCCTACCATGCTCCCAAAATCATACAGGGCTTTTACAAATGAGAAAGATGAATTAAGACAGAGAAAATATGGTTGAAAACCAGACCATCTTTATGGTAATATTATTGGATGTCCAAAAAGTCCATCAATCTCACCTGACAGCAGTGTGGTTTGAGCACCTATTCTAAAGCTGAGTGAAAGGGAGCAGCCAGGAGCACAAGTACCAAAGACTCAGCAAAGGGTGGGACTAATTGCAAATCAATCAAACTGAGAAGGTGTGAAATGAAAACACTGATAAAGGCAGCAAAAGCCATGGAGTGAAGGGAAAAAACATCCCTCCTTCAGTGAGGACAGTGGAGGAAGATCAAAATCAATCCAGTACAATTCTCACTGGAAGGCAGAAAAGTGAAAGCAGTCAGTGAAAGCCAGCTTTCCACCTAAAGTGAAGGCAAAATGCCTCAGTTATAGATGGTACAGCAACCTGTACTTGCCAATCCTGGACAAAACAACACAAAAATCAATGCGGAAGCCAAGTGATGTGAAATTAAAAGCTAATACAACTAGCAGTGAGGCTAAGGATACAACTTTCTGAAGAGATTATACATTGGGTAAGAATGTAAAAGACCTCCGATGGCACCCGGCTTTGCATCGCATCACATTCAGATATAAAACAAATCGGCACTACACAGCTTGAAGCAAGCAATGGGCCACGTGCTGCAAAGCAAAATGCTGTCCTCAATGTGTACTGCTCCTGAGCAGAGGTATTTCCACAGGGCTTCTGAAATGGTTGATGTGCGACAGATTTATTAATGCTCTGGAATTAAATTTAACATCACCGTTGCTAAAAATTATGGGTTACCCATGGAGGAGTGGAGAGCAATGACTGTGAAAGTGACACCAACACCAGTGGATCCATCACTCTGTAAACTGGCTCTGCCCAAGACGAGCAGCTGTAGTCAAACGTGCCCAGGAATGTGGGTGCACCCACAAAACAGCACCCACAGTGCTCAGCCATGATGCCAGCAGGCAAGTCACACTGCAGCCACACAGAGCCACTCTCTGACCTAAAGGACTAATGCAATTTTCACATACATGCGCCTGAGATTGAACAAGGAGGTAATTTTCTCTCTGTACGAAGCCGTAGTGAAGCCAGTCCCAGTGTGCTGCAGATGGACCGAGCGCCTTTGTTTTTAAAAGGGGAATAGAAAAGCTGGAGACAATTCAAGAAAGAGACACTGAAATGGTTCAAGACTGGGAAAAGATACTTTATGACTTTGCGAGACCAAACAACTTCAGTCCGTTTCTCATGCCAAAAGGAAGACTAAGAGATTATTTGGTTGCAGCATGTTATCATCTTCATGGGGAGAAAATACCATCTTCCCTTAATTTGGCAGGGAAGAGTGAAGTACGAGCTCATTGCTGGAAGCTGGAACCAGTTGAAATGAGGCATAAAATATTAGCACAGATGGTGGTCCACTGGAACAACCATTTTCCAAAGGATGTGCTCAGGGAGAACAAATCTCTCCAAGTCTTCAAACCCAGAGTATCTGTATCTGGCTGGCCCCGGGTTACTGGGCTCAGTACAGATGTGCACTGGCCAGACTTGGTGGCCTGAAGCTGTAGGAATATATGAATTATTAGACCAGACCAATAGAGCCTCAAAAACTGTGCTCTTTACACTCATTGACTTTCTGGATCCATCTCTGCCAAGAAAGTAACTTCCCGGCTGGGCTGTCTACTCCTAGGTGGGGCCTAAACCTGCAAATATTAATTGAAAGCAATACTATTCCGCTGACATTGCCCCATATGTTACAAGCCTGAGCAGGTACTTGGTGGACAGAAGGACACCAGCCCCAAATATTTTAGCAACTGTCTTCTGCATGATTTCATAGTACAGAAGCCCTGAAAGGAGCCTGCTGATCCTCTCAAAAACAAAATAAGCAAAACCATAAAAAACATAGCACCACTGGATTTCTACAACAATCTTACAACAAACAGAGACCTTCTCTGGCTTCAGACAGTTTCTAGGAGAGATGAAGGCAGCAGGCAGCAGATGGACCCAGGTTACAGAATGGCTACAGATGTACCCACTGCGTGTGTCAGGGAGGTAAACCCACAGCCCCGTGATGCTCCCCATCAAGCACCCTGCCATTTGGACTCGATGATCTTAAAGGTCTTTTCCAACCTAAATGATTCTATGATCGTGTGCAAGGCCAGGTACTGCCCAGTGACCCAGCAGAGAGGTCTGCACAGACCCATTTCCCACTCAGATCCCAGGGAAAGAGCTCTAAGTTGGTGAAAAGGGAATAAATTATAAGCAATAAGATTTTTTTTCAGATTATACGCATCTATAAAAATACATATACATACATATATATATATAAATGCGTGTGTTTGTATACACACACATGCACATATATATGCATGTATATGTATAAGAAGGGCTGATACATGCATCTCTGGCAGCATCCCCTCGTATCTGGCTCCCACCCCTTTCTGCCATGGCAGCCCCAGGACACACATTCTCTGCTGACACCCTGAGGTGCCAGCATTTTATTGCATGAGCCAGGTCCTGTTTCACAGCACCGAGGGCCCCAGCGTCTGGACTGTGCAAGCCAAAATGCAGGAGACGCCATCCCTGAATGCAAGCTTTGCTGTTGACCTGCACCAGGCTGGAATCAGTCCCACACCACCTGAGAGCAGTTTTAGCTACCTTTTTCATGGCCATTGCTGTTTTGCTTAAGAAAGCAGAGCTGTGTTCTCACATTGCTCTTATTATTTCCTATCTCACAGAGATTTTCTAGCCACTGGCTGATGTCAAGCTTTAGCCAAATTTAGCTGCAGACTCACTCCAGCTCAATGTCCAGAGGAACATTATGGCATTGCAGAATACCTTAAAATAAACGTAATCAAACAGCAACACAGTCCCAGCCCTCCTTCCTTCTCCTCTGGATATGCTACGCAGGCGACAGAGGAGCCAGAAGACTCTGACTGCTTCAGATGATGCATGAGAGGGGCATCACCCACTGCTGCTAACAGCAGGTGAAGGCAAGGGACCCCTCCTACCTTCCCTGTACGTGCATAACGTCTTCCTCACTTCCATCCTTACAGCCTTCAAAGGACTGATGGACAGACTACACAGGAGAACTCATCTGAAGACTGCAAAATGAAATCCTGACAGGCGATGGGATGGACTCTTACCGGCCTCTTGCTAGCAGTGACAGAGAGAGCGGTCCCCAACAGCACAGCATTGCAGTGATCATCACTCGCATGGCGACTGTCCAGTGACAGTTCATTCTCTCATTCTGCTTGGACACTGCAACCAAAAAGCTCCCCAGGTAGTAAGGTGGGTCCCTTTCCAGGGCAGGAGGTGCAGGGCTGACAGAGAGCTGCTGCTG